GAGGAGTCAGCATTTGCTTGATGGGTAGAGACCTGAACTGTATGAGCTGCCCAAGGAATTCATTCTGACTAAAACAAAAGTTTTGTCCAACATTAGCTTTGCAAAGAGTAGTAATTGTATGACATATTTAGAAGTAAAGACCTGGAATGTCTGCATCTCACTGTCAAGAGGTTCAGAAAAAAAATATACATGCATTAGTGGCTGTGGAGAGAGAGGGGGCTCACAAATATGGTACAGAATTACTCATTAATGTAGTTGACGGAGGTATAGTTTTTCATTACATTATTCTTGAAACTTTTCTGTAAATTTAACATTATTCAAAATAAACAGAAGGCTTACGAGCAGAGCTCAGGGTAGAGTGCTTGCCTCATGTGTGCAAGGTCTTGTGTTTGATCTACAGCACCCGTGGGTGGGGGAGGGAGACAGTGCGGGGGGGGGGGGGCAAGAATGCTGAGGATGGGAGGGTGAGCAGGAAAGGAGGAAAAGCATTTAGTCAGGAATAATATTTTAAACAGTTTGGTAAGGTAGATTATACCTGAAATTGGAGAATTAATTAATAATTGAGTTATAAAACAGCTTGTGGTTGAGTTTTTATTGAGATATACCAATTATGTAAACAATAGTACTAGTTGGTCTGGTTATGATGCTGTCTTTAATAAACTTAAGTCCCTTTTTTTGTAAAAGAAAATCATAAAAATTTTGCATTCCTAATAGTAGGACTAGAAATGAGCAAAGAGGATAATATCAGTCATGTGATTTGCCATTAAATGACTAGGCTACATGACTTTGTATGTTAGTACTTCAAAATATTCCCAGTGGAGAAACTTTCATGACCTTTTACTTAACCAGATCATATTTGTTTCTAAACTAAGATTAATTTATAGAAAAAAGAGCCAGAAAACTTAATTAATATGTACTATAATCCTTATAGCTACAGGAAGTAAAAGCAGACCATTGAATGATGATCATTGAATAAATATACCTAATTTTGTATGTTTAATTTACATTCCTTATTTAAAGAATGAAGGCTGGAATAGAATGGTGGGAGGCAAAGTCAGGCATAGAATTGAGAAGAGGAAAGAAAGGAGAGATGATAGGAGTGGAGAACAAACACCAAAGGGAAGAAAGAATACACATGGGGTGATGGGATTTTTTTTTCAAGTTTAATTATAGGTTTTATTGCTATCTATTGCCCTTTGATTTGTGAGCCCCTTAATAATTGTTTACAGGTTTTTAAAAAATATTTTTGTACTCTTTATTTTTTAGAAAACATTTCATAATGAAACAAAGCAACACATTATGGTAGAAATTTTCTTTAATATTAAAACAAGAGCTAGTAGAAAAATATTACTTCCCTAACTAGATAAAATCAATCTTTACCCATATTTTAATGTTACAATGAAGTTCAGACCTTGAAAAAATCATATAATGAGTCATAATCTTTTAAAAAATCAAGTTTTGGCAAAGTTTGATATTTCAAACAATTTTCTTTATTGTGAGAATATTTTATTGAGTATATTATCATTTTTATTATTAATTTTTTATGTCTTCTATTTTCCATCTTCTGTCATCTCAGATTACTCTGGAACAGAAAATCCAGCTGTTGAGTTTACTGTCTATTCAGGGATAGGTTGATCTGTAATTGCTTGATGATAATGAATTCTCATAACTACAAATGTTACAGGACTTTCTCCTGTACAGTGTATTTCATTCCTTTGCAATATTTGCTTTTTTTTACTCAAATTAACAAATTGAAAGGTGGTGGATGATTTGATGAACCTGCCATGTTACAGAAGTCAGGTAGACTGGACAGTTTTGAGAAGATGAACCAACATTAGGGTATATGAGCAATTTTAGGAAAATAAAATTTTTCTTGGAAAAGAAAGCTGATTTTTGTCTTCTACTTTTCTACCCACCACTTTCCTTTCTTTTCTTTTGCATTTATTTATGTAGGAAGTTTTTGGTTGAACTTTCGCTTAGTTTTTGCTCCTTCACTTTTTAATTTTCATGATGCTTACTTTTCTGGCGTGTATTAATCGCAAGTCCAGAGTCCATGTTACTGTGCAGACTGGGGCTCTCTTATTGGAAATGGTGTATCTACTCGAGGCCAGCCTGGCTGCTGCTTCATTTCTGTGTTCTTCAAGGCCATTCTCCTCCACCAATAGGGATGTTCAGGAAGTTCTCTTTGTGTCTGTCAGCGGCCCCTTGCCAGCACCTTAGTGATGGCCAAACTTAAGTAACAGAAGTTTAATAATGAATTCATCAATAACATGAACCGAAAGAGCTGCAGGGCACATGTAGGTAAGGGCCTAATGAAGGTTTGATGGACAAATAAAAGCATGAATATGCGAAGCATTGTAGCTTAACTGAAATTCTGAAGGAGTGAAGCTGTTTAGCCAAGCACTTCTGTCCATCAGAATCCAATTAAGTGTGCAGATTTAGACATGCTTGTGTCCCACTATGTGTCCATTAGTGGGTCCTGCAGCCATCAGGTTCCCTGGTGAATTTGGTGGAAGTGTCTCCTGACAGGAGCCACCTGCAACGTGAGGCATCACGAGACTTCCCAGGAGAAAGGATGTCACATGTGAGGATTCCACATTTGACTTTACCTTTAGTGTGAAATAATTCTTGTATCTTATGATTGAAGGATCAACTCTCATTAGAATTAATGCTCATTATAATCTTACGAAAATCTCAGCTTTCCCAAGTCAGTTAACTGCAGGATCTATTTTGACGTAGTTTTAGACTGAAAGGCAAAGTGCGATTCTCTAGGCCAGGGGTTCCATATTTTGCACAGCCTTTCACTTTTCATTGTGTTTTAAACCAGGTTGCTACATAGAGAATTTTAACAGCCTTGATCTTAGAGACATAAAGACTGTTATTCCCGTTGCTGCTGATTTAGTGTTACAGCTGCTTCCTCTTTATGAGATTTAATTTGAAGCTTCAGCCCACCAGGGGGCTATTGGTCCCCACCTTTGCAGTTTTAAGAGCAGACTGCTGTTTTCTGCATGGATGTTATTTCCATTCCTATTCAGAGTGATTTTCCCCTTTTATATTCATCTAGCAGCAGCAAGGCACTGTTCCAGGAACTTGCTTTCTCTACATAAGGCATAACATGGAACCATTTGGATGGAAAAATTATAAATTAAAATTATTCTGTTCATTTAAAAATATTCATATTGTGTTGCTGAAATGCCAGTAACTGGAAAATCATGGATAATGTCCTGTTTTTATAACCCCTTTCAGAATGTTTTAAAATCTGTTTATGTTGTTACTTAGCCATCTTTTTTCCTGGAGTGGATTTTGTGATAATTTTTTTAAAATAAAGGTTCTATGAGTCCAGTGTCTGATGGTCTGTATTATTAAAATGAAGATGACACCATCAATTGTAATCCATTTTTAAATAGGAAAATTTGTTCAATGCACTGAGAATGTTTATAAAATGGTAAGACCTAGATAGTCCATAGACATGCCAGACTATTTTTGTGGCGGATAAAGCTTTTTATTAAATGATAAAAACTAAGCAAATGTTTATTGTTTCTGGAACCTATGCATATAATTTCAACTAAGAAAACTCATGTACTTATAACCCTGCTGACTTAAACACTAAAAAAAAATTTCAACTTTTTTACTAGTCTTTTTTTAAAATCTGATCTCATTGCTATGTCAGGGACCTTTTAATTTGGGTAAACTAAACTTCTGTCTGCATTTTTCTTGTTGCATGGGTATGAGTGAGAGTTGTGTGACTCAGATAAGAAAGGCAGGGAAAAATGAAAATGCTCTTTTATAGATTGGGTTACTTTTTGATAAGATAAATATATCTTCTATAGAAAAGAATAGTGACTAGAGATCTAATTGTGGAACACATTAAGGAGAGTAAAAAGAAATTTTTTTTTGCTTTTTTTATTGTGTAAATTTTAAGTCCACTGTTACATAAAAGCCATGTTTTATTTGGTGTCTCTCTCTTGGCAAGGAAAATTTAAATGTATTTTTGAAAATCTTCTGTCAACTCAAGACAATTTAAAATTGTAATTTCAAAGCACTTTCTAGAAACATACTTTGATTTGGGCTGAAGTCTTAGTTTATGTGCCTGTGTTGTGTGTTGAAGTTCTCCAGAAGCAACAGATCACTGAGCATGAACAAATTTCACAGGTTCATTTCATTGTTTGTTTTAGGACTGCACATCATTTGGCCTTTCAAAGTAGGCTAAGCCTTTCATTGAATATGGGGTCAGAAAAACCCAGATGTCTCCTGCTTACTGTGTTTTATTTATTTAAAAAGCACTAGGTGATCAAAAAGTATTTTCTCTTAATTTTTGAAAAGATGTTATTTCAAGCTATCATATTTGAAGTCAAGATTCTACTAATAATATAAATGCGTTTCCTATTTGATGGAAAATACGATGCAAGATGTCAATTAATAGGGTTTCCAACTAAATTTATACGGTGACTGATATATTTGAGTGTAGCAATAAAATGAGCACTGTTTTTAATTAAATAAAGAAAGATTATAATAGCTACGATGGGTAAAATGAATTTCTTATTATTAACAATTTGTGAGTTAATCCCTAACTGTACTTGACATTTTTCCTTGGGTTGGTGACACACTGATCAGTGAGTTCACTGCTATTCTGCAGAATGACCGATTCAGTTCCAGGGCTTGTGGTATTTGTTAGAATAGATATTCTCAGAGGTGGGACTGAGCTCTAGCCTTGATCAAAGTGCTGTGAGGGAAGCACAGTTGAACTGATTGTCTGTGAATGTTAATCACTTCACAGGACACACTGATAATTTACAGCATTGTTGGAAGTCTCTGGTGTTCATCAAATGAACTTAATAACCCACTGCCACCGTGGGATAAGCTGCTTTTTCTGTGCAGTTGAATAGCCAGCCTGCCTGCATAATAGTGTTGAGAAATACTGCATTAAAAAGAGTGAGCAGCTGTATGATGGAGGAAACAGCTTTGCGACAGATTTGTTAATTATCTCCTTTGATTCACAGAGGGTGTTTGTGAGATATGGTTGACCAGTGAAGACACAGGGGCCTATGGCAGAGATATTGGCACGAGTCTCCCCACGCTCCTGTGGAAACTGGTAGAAGTGATTCCCGAGGGAGCAATGCTGAGGCTTGGCATGACAAATCCACCCTATATCTTAGAGCATCTGGAGGTAAGGACACCACCCCATTTATATGCCGACACAGACACTACCAGCACAGATTGGGCAGCCTGAGAATCACCACACGGCTTCACTTAGAGCCACTTGCACACTTGTGTGGTGTCCCACATTACCAAGAGTAAATAACTTTTAGTCCCCTTTTTCAGCCTAGTACAAGTTTGTCTTTGCCTGCTCATCATTAATTAATGTTGCTTAAATCTTTCAGTACTGCTACTTGTTGTGATTCTTTGTTGTTTCTTTGTAGTCCCTCAGTTTGCAAACATTTGACTCAGTTTCTCCATTTTGATCCTTGGTCTGGTTCAGAACTGGTAATGTACTGCATTAATTTTGTACCCAACAGTCAGTATTCTGTTCTGCAAACTACTTTAGCTTATTAGCCGGGAGACTGTGCCTTATGTTTGAGGATGCTGTGCACTCCATTGTTGTGTCTGGAGATGCTGAGTGCCCATGTGAGATCAGGGGACACTTGATTCACCTCTGACCATGGGAGCCAAGGCAGAGGAAAGCCTCCAGTCCCAATTCATTTTATATCCTTGGGTCAGGTTTTTATCCTTAAATAGTTAAATGTCAAACTAGGAAAAATGTGTATGTATCCAAGTCACTGGCACCTGATGACAAATCCCACAATAAATATCAGCCAAGAAGATGGATGAGACAGTACCCATTTGAATGAAAAAGCACTTAATCCATGATTCTTATTACCTAAGAAATAGTTACTTTAGATTTATAGTTTTGTGCTCTAAATCAAGGTGCCGTTAGAAAGTAATATGTATGGTAAGCATGAGGTCATGAGTTCAATCCCGGTACACCCCCAAAAAGAAGTCATATGTAGAGTATGAGAACGTATTACTTGTGCTTTAACTCAGGTAGGTTCTTAGTGCTATGTTTGTACAGAAAAATAACATTTTAGAAAGGTAGAAATGAGTTTAGTGGCTGAAATTTGCTGCATACATACAAATGAAAATCTATAAACATTTGAATAGTTATTTCTGTCATTTTGATTTTGGAAATATATTTAAGCTTTCTGTTAAATTGCCACCTTAATTTCAACAACGTATTTTAGAAGTTCTTTAAACAGGGTTGATAATAATTTGATTGTCAGTTAAAATAATTAAGAAATTTAGCAGCTTCAAGTTTGTTAATCACATTTTCCTAGCTAGATCTTTCTAGCAAGGACATATATTTTTGTTAACTGTGGTACTTTAGATAGTGTGGGATAATTATGATTTGCTACTTAAAAATAAGTTGTAGGCATGTCAACTTTACTTAACACTTTGACTCAACACTTGAAGAAGCATGTGATTCTCTGTGAAAATCAAATACACTGAGAACTGTGGCAATCTTTGCTGTATTTGCAGGAAATAGGAAGCATCCATATTACAACAGCCAGCAGTGCACAGGGTATGCATGTGATAGGAAGGGAAATGGGCCCTTCAGTTATGCAGTTTATGAGAACATGTGAAGTTATTTTTTTTAACAAAAATTCTGATCAAGGACCTAAGGATCATAGCAGCTAAAATCAGTGAAGTTCAGATACAGAGCAAGCACAAAGATAGATACAAGAATCACATATTGGCTTAAAGGTGGCTGACCAAGTACTTCTTAGAATAAATTCCATTTTTTAATAGACTGCAACGTTGTGTTCATAGCAATCCTAGTTTTCCCCACCCAAAGGAGTTACAGACAGAATCGTTGACCTTCCAGTAGATGTTCCAAGAGAACTTGTAAGAATCAACAGGACATGTGAAATATAACATTACACTTTACCTGGAAAACACCAGATGTTTAGTTCGGAGTTCAGAATGTGCTAGCAGGTTCCTAGTATTATATTGTGTTTTAAATCTTTGCTTTAACATATTAAGTGTTGGCCTTTCTTCCTCCATCATCATCATCTTGTGAAAAGGCACTGTCATATCTATCTCTTGCTCTACCCCACCCAGTAGTGCTCAGAATGAAGGGGGCCACGGACGTAGCTCAGTGGCACCGTGTCTGCCTGGCAAGCACAAGGTCCTGAGGTTGATTCCTAGTATTAAAAAAAAAAAAAGTGTGCATGCATATTTAAGTGTATAAGATAGAATATGATATCACAGAGTTTTATTGGATCATTGAACAGAACTGTTTGCAGTATCACTGATGGAATGTCCACTTTACAAGCTTTAATTTTGTGACTTGAACAATTATTTCTAAGATGACAGTATGTAATCCATTAACTAGTGATTTCCTACTGTTCATTTTTTTTCTGCAAATCTGTATAACTTGTACCCTTTCTCTGCTTTTTTTTCTTTTCTCCTTAAATAAAATTTAAAAAAAAAAAAAAAAAAAAGTAAATAAAGGAAAAGCCATTTCCATAAACTAAATTGTAGCCCCACGGTATAGCTATAAGCTTTGAAATCTTAATACCCTCTCCTTAAGGAAAGATGATTAAGTAAGTGAGAGCCATAGCCTGCATTTTATAAGCAAGGAGCAGTGTAGGCTGTTGTATCACATGGGGAGAAAAAGCCATCCCCAAAGACAGAGCAGAGAAAACAAACACAAATGCATGGTAGTTGGAGATAGTTGGAGGTAGTTGGAAGTAAGAGCATTTAACCTGTCACCACTTTGCCACGGCCTTCACACTTTAGTGATTCTTCTCGTCCTATTCTAAATGGCAGAACCTGGAGCTGGCAGCCTCCTACCTCACAGAGAGTCTACCCGGGATCCAGAGGGCTCCCAGTGTCCAGAGGGCCTCAGTCTAAACCTGGTGACCCGCAGTCCCGTGTCCAGCAATACATTGTCCTTCTTCATTGTCCTCCCACGGGGCTTAGGCCACTCTACAGAAATTACTTCACTCATCTAAAGAGTGGTGGAGAGAGCTCCCAGTAAGAAAAAGAAAAAAAGGAGGGGAACCAGAAATGAAAATAGGAAAAAATAACACCAGGGGGCGAAGGTGGTGATTTCTTTTAAACTGTAGGGCTAAAAGGAGCCCACTCTTGAAACAGCCGTTTTGATGGGTTAATACCATCAGGGTGAGGATTCTTGAGAACCGTATCAGTGGGACTCAGCCTTCTTGTGTTCTGGGAGCTGCTTCACACGGCAGACTGTAATTACGGAACACTTCACCGGACTGTTTTCCTCCTCCTCCATTCTCCTCACTTCACATCCTTCTGACGCTTGAGATTTTTTAAATGCTTTCACCAGATTTTTTTTTTTTTAATTTCAAAGAGTTTAGAGGAAAATTATTTAAAGGAGAATGCCAGCATTTCTATTGTACTATTTAAGTGTGTGAAAAAATGTATCAGATGAAAATACATTTTATTAAATCACCATGGGAATAGAAGATGCATATTACACTAAGCACAGAATGTACTTTAAAGGTTTTATCAAGAGTTTAACATTTGTATTTGATACTGAATAATGTGTCCTTAGTTAAAGGAAGAACTCTTTATCAGTAACAAGCAGACAAGTAATAGTGTCTTTTGGGACATCTACAATCCCTGTTTTTGGCTTATCATTACCTATTAGAATGCAGAATTTATTTTATACAGCTGACAGAGATATTGCAAATATAAATACAGTAGAAACACCTTGAAAATGAAGAAACACAGCTATGAGCTTATGTAATACTGTATTAGATTTGCATATGATAGTAGAAGCAATAGAACAATAGGTTAAAAGTATTTTACTTCAAGTAGGCTAGTTCTTCTCCACTGCTTGCAGACCAGACAAGTTTTATGCATGACATTTGGGTCCTTAAGACACTTTTTCATTATATAACCAGTCTTTTATCCCTTGACTACCCTGTGATGCTTCCTATGTTGCCTGTGTTATGTATGCACTGTATGCATACGTTCTTAGACTTTGACTTTGTTTTTATCCATTCTTGTGTTGCCAGTTAGTGATAATGTGTTCATCAAGTGCACTAATGTTTGGTACTGTAGGAAATACTTTCCGTGTTTCCTTTACTACATGTACTATTGGCTTGTTTGTCTTCAGTGAACTCTAACCTTACAGAAAGTTGGGCCCTTGTAAATTGATCACTCTTGTAAACACATTACTTGACTTTGCCTTGGTAGTAATAATGGTAGGTAATCCCCAGCCAAACTATTAATTCAGGCTGAAAATAATACATATGAACCCAGCAACTGTGATGAGACCCTTAGTACAATAACTACTACTAACAAGACACCGTGAATTGCTGGTCACTCATTTTCTAAGACTGAGTAATAGTAATAATAATAGTACATCTGTCAAGAAGCCAGGCTGATTTCCATATATGATCTCTTTCTTCCATCCTTCTTAGCTGTATAGAAATAATTATTTTATTGAGTACCCAAGTATTAGGTTAGGTAACTTTCTAAGCCACATAGTCAGCCCCTCGGCTGGTTTTTAACTTAGGCTAGTCCTGAAATGTTTTCTGCTGTACTCTAGCTTCATCAGATGCTCTCCCTGTCACATCTGTGCTCCTCCTGGTGTACTGTGGTGTCTTATTTATGTGGGACTGTAGCACAAGTGTCATCGTCTTCAGGGGAATGCTGTCTCGTTCATCTTTGCATTTCAATGCCTGTTCTAGCACACACTTGATAAATTTATATTGAATGATGTGGTAGCTCTGTGGTTAACTTATGTTCCTTGGCTACATGTATTATATATTGAACTAGCTTAATGTCTGTCCCAGACGTCTAGTTTTGCAAGAGTCTGGCATTGGTTGGCATGTGTGTTTCTCACTTATGAGTAAAAAACACTTCTGTGACGATGTCCGGGGTAGGTGGGATAAACTTCATCTCAGAGATGCATTTTATTTATTTGCCTTGCTGAACTACCACACTGAAAGAATCTTTAAGATTACAGAAAGCAGATAAGCCCCTTAAATGACAGATTTTTAAGACTCTTAACATCTTTCTTCTGCCTCTTCCTCTTGAGCTTTCACTGCTTTGTAGAGTACTCATTAGAGAAATCAGCAGCCAAGTGGAGACTTTTAAATCAGATAGTTCGTCTTGATTTAATTTTGTAAA